ACACCATTAAATGGGCTTTAATTTTTATGTACGAAAAGATAATATAAATAAAATATAAAATGGTATTTAATAACTATTTTTTACATATTAAGTTATTTATAATATTTATGTGAGTTAATTTTTATATAATTTTTGTAAGTTTATAGTTTCATGATTCTCAACAATGAGTTGTTGAATTAATAATTAGTTTAAGTTGATTCTTTTTCACTTGGACAAATAGTCATGTTTGGTCCAAGTTGGATAGAGCTATGATGGACCCCCAATGGGTGAATGTCGATTATTTCTCTCATGCCTCATTCCTTGCCCCGGGTATATCCGACCATTCTCCTTGTCTAGTTCATGTCTTCGAAGCCGGAGCCAATGGGGGTTCCCCTTGGCGCTTCTTTAATATGTGGACGTTGCATGAAAATTTTTTGTCGTGTGTTTCCGACACTTGGAGTCATGTTGGTGGGGGATCGAGGCAATTTCGCCTCACTACCAATCTCAAAAATCTTAAGTATTCGCTCAAGGCACTTAATGAGAAATCTTACTCACATATCTCTACACGTGCCAATGAAGCCAAAACCGCTCTCAAGGAAGCACAACAAATGCTCCACGACCAACCGGATGATCTCGGCATCAAGTCTAAGTTGGGGCCTCTTAGGCTCCAAGCTCTCAACTTGGCCAAGCGGAAAAACTCTTCTTCCAACAAAAGGCCAAATGCAATTTCCAAATCAAAGGAGATAAATGTACCAAGTTCTATCATAGCTTGCTCAAGAAGAGAGCGAAAAGGAACTATATTGCTTCGATAACTTGTGAGGATGGCACATTAACCGGCTCCATGGAGGATGTTTCTAAGGAATTTATACATTACTATGAAGGCCTATTCGGAACCGGGGTGCAAACGGAGGACATTGACCCTCAAATTCTTAGTTCGGGGCCGACCCTTAGCCCCAACCATCGTAGCACTCTAATGGCCCCGGTGACCGATGAAGAGATCAAGTCCACCCTTAGAGGCATTGAAGGAGACAAATCCCCGGGTCCGGATGGCTACACCTCTACCTTCTTCTTAAAGAGTTGGGATGGGTTGGTAATGACCTTGTTGCGGCAATCAAAGAATTTTTTCGAACAGGGTCCATCCTCAAACAATGGAACCACACCGGAATCACGCTTGTCCCTAAGTCCTCCCACTCCTCTCGAGTCACGGACTTTCGGCCAATTGCGTGTTGCAACACGATTTACAAGATTTGCTCCAAAATCCTCGCAAGGAGAGTTAGTGAGGTCCTCGACGCTATTGTTGATGAAGCCCAAGCCGCTTTCGTGAAGGGAAGAAATATGACGGACAATATTCACCTCATGCAACAATTACTCCGTCAATATTTGAGAAAAAGAGTCTCTCCGAGATGCTTGATCAAGATCGACCTCCGTAAAGCATTCGATTCTGTCTCATGGACCTTCTTGAGGCAAATGCTTGAGGGTTTAGGCTTCCCAATGGCTTTCACTAAGTGGATCATGGAGTGCGTCACCACCCCTTCGTATTCCTTATCCATCAATGGAAGCCTTAAAGGCCATTTCAAAGGAGCTCGTGGGCTAAGACAAGGTGACCCTCTCTCGCCTTTCCTTTTTGTTCTTTGTATGGAATATTTATCTCGGCTCATTAAATGGCACACGATGGAAGACCCGAACTTCAAATTCCATCCTATGAGTGAGAAGCTTAAAATCTCTCACCTTGTCTTCGCCGATGACCTCATGCTCCTCTCTCGGGGGGACTCGGGGTCAATTCAATTGCTTATGAATTGTTTAAGGGATTTTGGAGCAAAATCGGGGCTTGGAATGAATGTGCTCAAATCCAACATATATATGGCCGGAGTTAAAGAGCAAGATCGTGAGACAATCCTTGATGACACTAGTTTGCTAAGCGGGCCTATGCCTTTTAGTTACCTCGGGATTCCCCTCACCGCGGATCGCATTACCGGGAGGCTCTTTGATGATATGATCAAACAAGTTGAAAGCCAATTAAGTGGATGGAGGAGTCACTCCCTTTCCTATGCCGGTAGATTGGAACTAATTCGATCGGTCATTTAAGGCATCGCTTGCTTTTGGATGGGCATATTCCACTTGCCGGGCATTGTTCGAACCAAGATCATTCAACTTTGTAGGAGGTTCTTATGGGGCTCCAAAAAAGCCCCCGTTG